ACTAGAAAAAAACAAAACATTATCTGGTCTAATTAGTTTCAATTTCTGCTGCTACACTCAGAATTTGTCATAAACAACATGGAAGCATGGATCCATCCTTGTATCAGTGATTCAGGCTGCTGGTGATGTAATGCGTTGGAAAATATATTCTTGGCACAGTTTGGATCCATTAGTACTGACTGAGCATCATTCTAAGGCCACAGCTTACCTGAGTTGCTCATCTTTATAACCACAGTGTCCTCATGTTCTCACAGCTGCTTCCAGCAGGATCACATATCATCTCACTAAGTTTAAAATCATCTCAAAATGCTTTCTTGAGCATAACGATGAGCTCCCTGTACTCAAACTAGTACTAAGCTTCATGGTGTACCTAAATAAAGTGTCTGGTGAGTGTACATAAATTAGAAAAGACTACCAAAAAAGACATCACTTTGTATTATATGAAACTAGAATAGGATATTTTTAAGTCATGGTATTTTAATTACATATAATTAAGTTTTTATCAATTAAGTATAAAAATAATATAGATATTAATAAATGCTCAAAATAAGCACCTGCTCCTGATGTAATTGTGTCTGCTCTCTAAAGCTGTTGTGTCTGTTCTTTATCACCCCGTGAACGCATTGTCACAATCTTAATAGTACAGGCTTAAATAATATTTAGAGTAATCTTGATGACTACTCCTGCCGTTTCTGCTTTTACCCCTGTAATTAAACTCAAGTCCGGGTCTCATCTCATTTCATACCTCAGCTCACCCAAATGAATCTTTCATATGCTATTAATAAAATAAATCTCACACCGCAACAATGGCAGCAGAATAAAAATGCAAACATCTGAGATAATGTCAGTGATTGGGTTGAAGATATGTGTATTAATGAAGCACACTGAGGTTGAAGCTCAGAAGAAACAAAATATACCCAAGAAGCAACAATTTGTGACCAGCTCTCCCCTAAAAACAAGAAATGGTTTGATTCCCTGTAATCCAGTTGGAGAAGACAGATAATGAGTTTGCCATTGGCTGGATAGATAGAGGTCTCTGCCTTTAATAACTCTGGTTAAATGCTAAATGTACTACAAAGCACTTTTCTCCTCTTACCGAGCACTCAAAACACTTCTCTTGGTTCATTTGCTTTCCTTCTATGCCTTCCCGAAAATACTGATGGCAGCCAACAGGTTTATGATTAAGATATCACAAATGAATGAAAGCATGGAGGGAAATTGAATCAGTAGGTGGATAAGAGGCAGAAGGCAGTCTGATTAAGAGCAGGGGTAAAGCTGCTAAGACACAAACACTTGGAGAAGGGTCATTAGATCAGGATGAGAGTTTAAGATGTGTGAGGAATCAATCCTAGGCTTATTTTATTGTCCACACTTACACCCTCTGCACTTGCCTCCATCCCTAACAAAAACAGGACCCAAACAGAAGACCCGCTTAAGGAAAAATCACCAGCATGTCTACAACTACCACCTATGGCTTGGTTTGTTTGTTTTTCTTTGCACAGATTTGCAGTGAAAATTAGGAAATTAAGTGAATGATGTTCATAATTTAATTGAATATGTACCCCCACCCCCTGCACAATACTCAAACAAAACCTACATCCATGTTTGCATGATCATTTCCCCCACAAAAAAATACAGGTTTCTCTTTTCAAATTAGAAATATGTTAATGTTAATTAGATTTTTCATATTTAAGCTGGATTTGTGAACAAACATATCAACAAAACGGGGCAGATTTCTACTAATTAATTATTTTACTGTGTTTGATTTTAAGGCTGAGGAGAAGCGAAAGGAGTAAGCTTTGAAATCCTTCTACCAAATAGATAAAGTACATGTGAGTTGTATGAAATAATTACTAGAAAGAAAGCCCTCTGTACACGTCATACATTAGAGGAATCCATATTAAATCAAGTGAGCCACAATCAACACTAATAGGTCTTCTTTATTTCTAATAAATTGAAATCTGTAAACTGTAATGCATTTTGTAAGGATCACATACCGGTAATCCTGGTATATATATTTTTCTACAGTTATGTTTTAACAGTGTTGATTTTTAAGTGTAATTTTGGTCTTAATAAGGATAAAAAACACATGATACTTACATCAATGAAAATGGACATTCCCTTTTTGAGCTCTATTTGAGCGCTGGGCTCCTCGGACACCGGCTGAACCTCTTCTGAACAATCCATCATCCACAGTGTAGCTTCACTTGTGATCTGCAGAGGAATGTGTGTCCGCTTGAACCTCTTATTCTCTGACTCCGACAAGACACGCGAAGTAACGCACAAGTTCCGGGCTGGAGTGCCACAATTAAACGTTTACGTTTAAAAGCCGAAAATAAGAGTTAATGCGATCCTTACAGTGCACGTAACGAAGCCCAAATATAACTGCCCTGCAGTCAGCTTTGAGACTGCTTTTTCCTCCCCGTTAGGCAGCGATGTGCAGCTATATGCTTTTATTTTGACAGCTAAATCAACAGCCTGCCATATACTGACTGTCTGTGTTGATCCCGCCTCAGTTGATGCGAAGTGTTCGTGTTTTTCACACTGTGATGCACAGGCTTTAAAATATATAATTAAATACATAGAAACTTCACCTGAGACACTCTGACAACATCGCTGCATTCAGCCAAATGAGCAGCACTAATAGCTTACTCCAACAGAGGGGCTGTTACATAAATGTGAACTTTTTGTAAAAGCTACAAAGGCCACATAAAAGGTCGGCTTATGATGTCCTCTCTAGACAGATCCCCCTCCCCCCAGGTAGTTGAATGCTTGAAAACGGTGGTCTCACTTCAACACACAAAAATGGCCAGTCTCTCAAGGACTGACATTTCTGTGTTTTCGCTGCAGTATATGCTCTCTTTTAATCTGACCATAATGAAAATGTATACAACTAAAAAACAAACAAATTAAAAAACAACAACTCATTAAGAATGCTTTCTATTGTAGCTTTGCATTAGCAAAAGAAGAAGAAGAGGAATATTGAACTATAACAAGGATATGTATGTTATAATCTGCCACATGTATCGCTCATGCTAAACTTGTATTGGGTTGAAATGGCTGTAAAACTGTGTAACACTTCCATCTAGTGGGGTGCTGTGATAGCACAAAAATACAGATCAACAAAACCAAAAATTACATTGATGAAAAAAAAAAAGAAAAAACATATAATTTAATTAATAGTCCAGGGTTTATGTGAGACAATGCTCAGATAGGAGGGGTTAGTCTGTTTTTAAAGGACTACCACCTCAAGGCTTACAGCTCCACAGCCGAGAAAGCGGTGTTAGATGCACCAATGAACTTATTGTCTGCTTCACTCCCCTTGTTATGAATTTATGCTGAGCACACCAAGCAGGGTGATTCCCCTCAGGCTATAATATTATACTGCATGCTCTCAGAAATACAGGAGAATAAGTGAAAGTGCTCTTACTCTGCCACATTTCACAGTAGTGTGCCGCCTGAAATTATGAACCAGATTTTTATAAACGTGAAATTATGTCCATAAAAATAATCTGCAGTGTATTTTTATGCTAACTATATTTACTGCAGTACTATTGTTCAGTTACAGATTTGTGGTACATGTACTGCATTTAGGTCTGCTTCTTCATCACCTCATTGCATGATGGATATTTATTTTTGATTCCTTCTTTGAAAGCTATTTTGAATGAACATGGTAAGAAAATTAAGCTTAATTCATCTTGTTGTGAATGAAGACTGATTGGAGACAATCTATACTTTTGCCAGCTGAATTTAAGAGCATGTTATTTTAGGTGATCAAGAGGAAACATATAATTTTTATAGTAGAATAAAACTGAATTGAGAACCTTTTTTGTAGGATTATATGCCAATGAGCAAACATATGTGTAGATCAGGGGTGTCAAACATAAAGCCCAGGGTCCAGAATTGGCCTGGCAAAGACTCCAATCTGACCCACTGAAAGGTTGTAGAAAGTGTGAAGGAATGCATAGATTTAAACTTTAATCTGTATTTTGATAAGCTTTTCACAAGTTCATAAAAACCTCTCCTATTGCCATTCACACTATACCAAAGTAAAGTAATAGATAATTAAAGGACATAAAAGTTCCTGTTTTTAGTGCCTACTTACTTATACTACTAATAATGATATCAGTACTGGAATGTTTATGTAGGCAATGAGGTACCAAAAACCTTTCTGTCATTTTCTACATTAATAATGTAGAAAAACTGAGAAATACTGTTGAAATTGCACTTCCCCCCTAACGCTTCTCGGGGATTAAATGTGCAGTTACATGCATTTACACTGACAGAAAGGGACGTTACACTGGTCTGGCCCACTGAAGGCCACGATATTAAATGAGTTTGACATCCCTGGTATAGGTAATATCTGTTCTGCACATTGAGACACACACACACACACACACACACACACACACACACACACACTAAAATAAGTGTCAGAAAGCATGTAACTACAACAACAATAAATTGCTCTCATGAATTTATATGAATCTCATGCGTGTGTGTGTATGTGTTTGTGTGTTTTAATTTGCTTCAGTTGTTTATCAGTTACATTTATTTAAATTTCATAAACCATCAAAATGACGTGTGTTCAAAATGAAATCCAGGCCATCTTTAAACGACTTTTAATTCCTATGTTTATTTTCCTCTTGTTGCGTAATTTGTAATTTTCTAATGAAATCACTGTGTGTTTGCTCCTGTTTATTTTTAGAAAGGAGAGCTTTCCACGTAGCTACGTCCCGGCCACACTGACGGTAAGGAGTAACAACACGGGGACATTTCACGGTGATATCTGTTACGTATATCTTGCCTTAAAAACACAGAGAGACTCCGAATGATTGAAGTAAAAGAAACGTTACAGGGATCGCGTTAAGCTTGGCTGACAGAAACAAAATCATTCAAGCAATCGCTCAAAAACAACTTATTTAAAAAAAAATCTCGCGGTGACATCGAGAGCTTTCTGATTGGTTGAAACAGTTAAACGGTGGGTCACGTGGGCTGAGGTTACTTGGCATTCTGGGACACAAACAGTGGTCTGTATGAATAGCTTCGACATCGACAGCATCCACTCAGGAGAGAGGACGACGAGTGAAACAGCAACAGCAGCTAGCCTGGAGACAAAGAGCAAACTGGGCTTTCACATCCGGCTTGTGAGTCCTGTTTGTCGCTCTGGTGTCCGGGAGAGGCGGCTCTGAAAGGCCGGTGGCGGTGGTTTTAGTCTCGAGATTGCACTGTTGGACTTTATCCTCGCAGAGAGCTAGTTAGCTAACGGCGGAGAGTAAGTTAGCCACGCAGTGATTTGTGCTGGTGAGTTATCGCTAAAACTTGATGTGAATGCTGGGGGAGTCCTGAAAGTTGATGTGGATAGCACAGGCTCTCCCCTTGTCATGCAGACCCATCTTTGTCGTGTCCCTCCGGCCACTGACTCAACCTTGTCCTGAGCGAAGTGATAACAACTCTGAAGATGGCGAGTGCTTTAGACAGCGACTACAAAACTGACAACATCAAGTCACTGCGCTGGCACGCTACACAGCTGGTGTACCCGAGATAAACCGCTAACACGGGTTAAGTTGGGCAGTTAATGTAATGGCAAAAGGTTACCTGTATGCCCTACTATGCCAGTGCAGTAACAGCACCAGAGCAATGGACTACTACTTATGCTGAAGCCATCGTCTGCGAAGTTTGTGATTACTTGTCTCTGTTGAGATGGACTTTGACTGTGTTTAGACGCTTTCTAGGAGCCTGTAACATAACAGCTGCTTCCAGGTCAATCTGAGCTCCACTGCTGGTCCCCAGAGGCTGTTTGAGGACCGACATGTCAATGTCAGGGGCTACGACCGTGCAGCTTTTCACCAAGCTTGTAAAGCACGCAGTGGGCAAGACGCAGATCCAGCTGAACCGCTGGCTGCAGAAGACCTCCACGGACGAGTGTGACAAAATCGACATCCTAATATGCAACGCTTTTGATGAGAGGGGGACTGGCTTGGGGAAGTCGGATGGTGTTCCCGAGGCCAGCGTTGACGCAGGGGGGACGACCTTCACCGGTGGTGCAGAGTTCAGACACCCGTGTTGTATCACCACCTTCTGTTTTAAAAGCGCCCTGCTGGCGTGCATCCTCACTGCTGTGTGCTTCTCCTCGGTGGCTCTGGTACGCCAATACCTCAAGGACCTCCTGCTCTGGGTGGAGAGTTTGGACAGCTTTGTTGGAGCCATGCTCTTTATAGTTGGTTTGATTATCGTGTCCTTTCCATGTGGATGGGGATATATTGTTCTTAACGTGGCTGCTGGCTACCTCTACGGCTTTGTGCTGGGCATGGGACTAGTTATGGTGGGGGTTCTAATAGGGACCTTTGTGGCACACGTGGTGTGCAAACGACTGTTGACTGACTGGGTGCTGAACAAAGTTGGAAACAACGAACAGCTCAGTGCCGTCATACGCGTGGTGGAAGGAGGAAGTGGACTCAAAATTGTGGCCTTAGCAAGACTCACCCCCATACCTTTTGGACTCCAAAATGCAGTTTTCTCGGTGAGTATGTTTCCAGGTTTTTTTTAGGTCATCGTGTAAACTCACAAATTGCAGTAGATGTGTCACAGCACTTGTTCGGCTCTGGGAAGAATTCATTACTGTGCCAGATGATCGCTGAACAAATCAAACAGAGTCCTGACAGTTAATTCTGTGGTCTTTTTGTGTGTGTTTTAGAGGGGATGCATTTTTCTTATTTCTAGGCCAGCTGAATCTCAGGGGAAATCAGAACTATCTAGATACAAGTCAGGAACTGCCAGTTTCATTTCAGTTTAGGACACTGAAAAGAGTAGTTGGCCTGTTACTTCAATATTCAAGGCAGACCGGAGTCTAAATGTGGAAATGAAAATAGGAAGCCGGTCCACAGAGAATGGAAACTCATTCTTCCTGCAGATAAACGGAGTGCTCCTAGGATGTGGCTCCCAGTGGTCAGTAGCCATATTTCAGGTTTTATATTTAGGAGCAATTTTTTGTTTTTGTTTTTTTTTCCCTCTTGAACATCTGGTGACATAAACACAATTTAGTTTAAGGTGCCACCTTTTTTGTTTTTTTGAGATGACTCATGTCAGGTCAGTGTTGTGATATTGCTTTCAACTGCTCTCCTACATTTAACCGAGGCCCGAGACCTTCATACATTGCATGAATAGTTTATACCCCTTCATTATCTTCCTCACTCAACTCATTGATACATCCAAAAAGGTAAAAGGCTTAAGTGATCATCCTCTGTTTTATAGAATATCAGGATGGGTCACTTGATATGAAAACAATAGGACTATTTAAAATAAATAAATAAATAAAACAAGGTATTACAAGTTGAAGCCATGCAAAAAACATAGGTTCACTTACCCAGTATATCCACAGTTGTCTTTCTAGATACATTTAACCTCCTAGGACCTGTAGTCCACATATGTGGACATCACATTTTGGGTTGTTTAGACCAAAATACTCAATTTTGCTCTACAAGGGCCTGATGTCCACTTACGAGGACATTTTACTGCTCCTGTTCTATCAAAAATTTAAATGAATATCCTCATATGTGGCTCTCATTTTTCTTAGAAACAAAAATCAGATTTAAAAAAAAAGGTAATTCTTTGATTTTTACATTCATCAGCCCCAATATGCCCAAATATCAAAGAGAAATCAAAAATGCGTGCCGTGGAAGAGTTCGGGTCTTAGGAGGTTAAGGATCACACTCCTTGTGTAGGCAGTAATGTAATTTATAATACTCGTAAAATTGCCACTGAGAGGATTTATTCCTGCTAGTTAGAGCAGGGTGATATGGCCAAAAATATTTATCACGATATATATTTGAAAATTTGCGATAACGATATAACTGACGATATAATTGATGCGAGACAAAATACAACTCCACAACATTACTAGCGCAAAAAGACAACCTATCATTTATTTTCACTTAAACAAGAAGCTGGTTTTTATGTACATTAAAGCTTTATAAAAATGTAACAGTGCAAATGCAAATTCCTTGCTCAAAGTTTAACCAAAAGGCATTTCCAGTAGAAATGGGCTGACATATCCTGAGCATAACCATGTATAATATCCACTGAAGTTAAAAAGAGGTGCTTTGCAACATTAAACTGCAGTGAGCAGTACGTATTTTTCGGACCGTAAGGTGCACGGGATTATAAGGCACATTAAGCGAAACAAAGCAGTCAGATAAATCAAACTTTATTAAACTCATTCTTCTTGCTTCCTCCACTTCTGTACCATTGATTCATTAATGTTGAATTCTCTGGCAGCTGCTCTATTCCCATGTTGTTGCAGTATATTAATGACTAACCTCGTATTGTGGATGGATTATCTCAGTTGTTCTCCTGACTGAAGATTGGTCCTTTTACAGCATCCTGCCATGCGATTGCATTTGTCTCTAACCATGAGGAACCTTAACGTTAACTTTTATAAGTGGGAAAGTGTTAGTGTTTGTCCTCCAGCTTCACTGTTTATGTTATGCTAACATAGCTGTGTCGCTAGCGATCACGTAGCACATAATTATATACCAGCTAGCCCAACTTCAGTAACCCTACAAACGTCACTGCTGTTTAGTTTCCTGTCTTCATTTATGTTGGAAGTGATAGCAGAGCTGTACGTTTGATTTTTTTCAGAAATCTCTCAGTCAGAACATGCAATATCATGCTTAGGTAACTAGCGAAACTAGCGAGCTAACTTCCGCTAGCTTCCTGCTAGCTTCTAACTCCGTTAAATGTAATACATTTTGTTTTCATGGATGCCTGGAAGTTAAACTTCATAGTTACACCTGGTAAAGCAGCAATGCTGATCGTTTTATTAAAGATGAAAGAATTTAGACAGTTTTTAACTCTTAGTGATGCTGCAGTGTTCGTTTGACCTGAAGCATACGGAGTTTAGGACCCAGATTACTCCCAGATTTAAGGGCATCTTAGTCCGACGGCCGCTTGCATGTTCTGCAAAAAAAATGTGCTTTGTCGTGTATCTGACGGACAAACACCAAACCAGTTCCACATCACTGAAGTTGCACCATTTTTACAAACCAATTCTGGTTCATCTGTTTCACTCAACAATCGGCCATGTGCGTATGAAAACAAAGGCACTGCGCATGCGCGTTTTACTCATATTCTATCGCGATATTTCATTTTCCTATCGTAGCCTAACATTATACCGGTATTACCGTGAACGGTATAATATGGCCCAGCCCTACTGCTAGTTATAATAAAATTTAGCCAGGACATCCTTTCCACACACAAAAAATATATATATTTATATCTCAAAACAAAAACTACATTTAATCCACTGCATCTAACATGCTCAAAGAGCTTGATTAACGGTAAACATGCTAAAAGTATTGTCTGATGAGAAATCCCCCTTAAATACTGGAAAACGCAGAAGCACAAACATGCAAAATTGAATGCAAATTGTTGGGCTTGAAAGACATTAATCGCTTACAGCAAGAAGGAGTTGATGCACAGGCCCAAGGAGGGGAAAAATCTGATGATGTAAGTGTGTTTCACAAGGACAGAGGTTGTATGGTGCTAAACCAGTGGGGTTTTCCGGGGTGACTGATTTGGTTAGACATTTGTCAACTTTATAGAGTTGAGTGCTTTGCGTTGATTATGATTTCTCACAGTTTAATGTCACCACACTGACTTAAAAAATCTGCTTTATAACCCTCATGCAAATATTGAGGTGTTCGACCGCTATACTGGTTGATCTGAATAACTATCTAAATGTGTCCCCAGTGTGATGTTTATTACTGAACATAGAGAGAAGTCCTGTAAAGGGGTATGAAATCTTAATCTACCCTGTAGCGTGTGAGAGCAACATGTTGAAGTTATTTATTGCACTGCATTACATGAACACTAGACTTTGGTTTAACATATCAATATTGCATTAACATATCTACAGTTACTGTTCAAAATGACCCTTACAACTTCAGACGGTAATTTGATAATGGTGAGATGAGAGCATGTTAATAATGAGAAGCCTTGTGGGTACAAGAATCACGGGACGCAATAAGCATTTGTGCTGCTGTTGTACGCTGACTGATAGGCTGCTATTTGAGAAGCATCTCAAAGTCAGATGTATGGATATCAAGGTTAGGCAGGGAGCTGACGTAGATAAGGGTTTAGAGTCTGTGGTGATCTGTTTGGACAGTGATTCCTTTGATAATGGCACCAAATGCGAGCCTGTTTTGGTTTTTTTTAGTTGTTAGGATGTTCGTTTAAAATATGCTCACAATGTGTTTTAAAATGAAGGTTTTTCAGACTGTGTTGGTGATAATTCCCAGACATACAGTGTCATCAAGTATGAGAATCTGTAATTCTGAATATGGGCATTATTAGTCTTTATTTCTACACTAAGTCAGCAGTTTACCTGATCATGGACTTTGAGTATGACATAGCTTAAGCCTAGCAGATGGCTTTCTTTTGCCTGACTGACTTCAGTAGCTTCATTTTTCCCCCTTGCTGTATACTTCATAGTTGGGACTAGGGCTGCCACGATTAGTCGACTAGTCACGATTATGTCGACTATTAAAATCGTCGACGACTAATTTAATAGTCGACGCATCGTTTGAAGCTTTGTAAGATCACAAAGGACGCAGGAATGAGTAGTAGGATTTAAGAGTGTAATAACGGACTGAAACAGAAGATGGCAGCACTGCATGTACAAGGATGCCAGCTGCCGTTAAACCCCGAAGAAGAAGAAGCTGTGTCCCAGAATTCATAGCGCAGCCCAACACAGTTGTCAACAATGGCGGCAGCTAGTTAGTTTTAACTTTACTCTTATTATTCTTTCTGGGTCACAAAATAAACGTTTAACATATTTTCAGGCGAGAATGTAGCTGTGTAAACCTCAAATATCTGCTCAGTTTATCAAGACACCACATATTTTCAAAAGCGCTGCGACGTTTTCGGAGACGTCTGTTACCCACTAGCTCGTTAGCTAGGCGGGGGCAAGGCTCACTAGAGCCGTGAGAACACCGGACTCCCGGCAAATCGTTTTCAAACCCACCGCCGTCTTTTGCTAGTCAGGTTAAACATATATATAAGTCACTTAGATAACTTAAAAATGTTATTGTTTGGCTTTCTTTAGTATTTTATTTGTTCCTGAGTAAATCGGTTTGGCTGAGATTAAAGTTATAGTTTTTGCACAGCTAAAACTGTCAAGCAGACAGCTGATTATCAGAAGTGTGAGACGCTGGAGAATATACTCCGGTGTCCTGTTATATTTTAGAAAGCAAGGAGTTTATTAAACTTCACCGAAACAATCTGCAAATTTCATTAAAAATTAATAAACTACCATCTTGTCTTTATTTTTAGTTAGCACAAACACTTCAAGCTGTAAGCTAATGATAGTTATATAAGACCAGATGCTGCTGGTGCAATAAGCTGTACGCTGTACGTCCAATGGATGATGATCTGATTAGTCGACTAATCGCAAAAATAATCGGTGACTAGTCGACTATCAAAATAATCGTTTGTGGCAGCCCTAGTTGGGACTTGTCTGTGCTTCATGGGAGGATAACTGGAGACGCTATGACAATAGTTGCAACATTGAACTTGCTGCTCCACGCTGCAGAAGTGAAAATGAGGTGTCAAAGTCAAAGGGACAGATTTTAACACTCTGTTGCTCAGCTGCTGACTCTGTGACTGGCGCTGTTAGTACCCTCAGTCAGCTCATGAGAGTCAAAGTACAAGGTGAGCTCACTGACAGTCATGTAGGATGGTGATCTTCAGCTTGCTCTGGGTTATTACATACATGGTCAAAGCAAACAAAAAAAGGCTGCAATTCTAAAATGGCTAAACAACAAATGCTACAGATGTAGGTCATATTTTTTTGGATGCCAGTTTGCATTTGTTACTTTTCTGCTGGTTTGTTCCAGCTTATGACAGCTGTTTGTCTTTGGAAAATGTGTCTGTGCGTGACTCATTGTCAGGCTTTTTAAGGAGTTTTTTGTTTCTTTTGACATATTTTAGATTTACAAGCAGCTTGTTGAGTTCTTGGTGGATGTTGCTCCGAAAAGCTTGGAAAAACTCTCACCTGTTTTATTGAGATATCATTATGTCTATCATCTGCGTCTTTCTTCGATAATGAATAATATGGTGTCAAATGATAACTTGAAAGAAATCACAAAGACCGCATTGAAAGTAGTCCATTAATCATTATTTCCACACTTTTATCAGCGGTTTCCTCCTGGATCTGCACCTGTCTCGTATGCAACTTGTTCTGACTGCTCACATAGCGCCATGCAGCTGTTTTATGAAAAGTGCTGTTAAAGCACACTGTATGCTAGCTGCTTGGCACCAAGTGGCAAGCAGACACACTTAGCATAGCAAAGAATTTACCAACCACAGTGTACTGGAGTTAGTGGACTCCTAATCTTTCTAAACGGGTATCTACATATACATATGCAGAATGTGGAGGCCCGGGCCAACTTTGGGATCTGAATTTGTACTCATCAGTCACAAGCATGGTTACCGGTACCTGACAAGGACAGGAGGCAAAAGAATGATTTTATTTTTGCAATAAACTATCGCCTGCAATGGATTGGTGCTTTTGAATTTTGCCTGCATTTGTTAATGCATTTGCCTAACATGCAAAATACTGCTGGTTTGAGATAAGGGGGAGAGACAAATCTCCGTGTCAGGAGGGGCATCCGGTATAAGAATCAAAATAAGGTTGTAATCGAACAGATGGAGCAGGAAGCCTCAGATATCTGCTGGCTGCATCTGAGGAGAAAATTGGCCTTTGTCCTCAGATGCTAATGCTTGATTTACAGGACTGCATTGCCTATGCTGTAGACTGACATGCACCTTCCAGACACAGACTTCAGCATCTCTGAGTAGTCTATTTGGTAGTAGTGTCTGATATATATGTATTTGGTTTATTAAGAAAAGCATGATGTTTTAATAAGAAGAGACCTGATTAACACAGTGAGGTGGCTGTTTCCTTCTAAGTACCGTAAAGAAGGTGGTGGAGAAGTGATAGCATTTGCTGTTAAATGACCAGGATGGAGAACTGATATATTCATCACATCACCCAGCGATGCGTGTCGCAGTCGCTTCCATGTGAAATTCTTTGGTTTCTGTTGGAGAAATGACTGTCAGAGTGGAGCTTTTCAGTCTCACCACCTGTTTTCCCTGCAACATTTTCACTTTCAACCCCAACTCAGGCTCTTGCTGGATACTTAATCTCATCTGGAGGTTCATTGTAAAGCCGAGCTGCTGTTGTATCTGTACGATCTTATTCTCCACAATAAAAAGAGAAACGAGCCAATTCTAAGCATAGGCCCGTAACGGCTCACAGTAGAGTTATGTCTTGTCTGCCCTGCCCTTGGTAAGCACTTTCTGCGGTGAGGCTACATTTCACTGTGCCCCTCACTTCTTTCTGCTGAAGTTGGTGGTGCTACATTATCACGGGTAACCTAAAACGACACAGAGACTGCAGCAGTTAGCAAAACAATAGGACAGCTCAGGAAAAATGCTTGTGAATCCGTTGAGCTTCAGGTGCGTGCTTTCATCTCCGCACATCTATTTTATTGCACTTTTATACCTGCTCGCTATCCTGGCTCCAACACTCGTCATAATGAGCTGATGAAGCAATCTGGGAAGTCTTTGTGTGTGATTTATGGACCTTCGGTACAAGCAGGCATGTTTTAAGTGTTCTTCACACTCCATTAGTATGAATAAAAAAGAGAAACGGCATCACAGTTGCAATCCTAATTTTACTGCATAGTCAAAGCACCTAGTGTTTTGTTTACAAGCACAAAGTCAGGCCTGCATTGCTGCTGCTCTAAATAAATCAGGCCAGTCATAAGACGGGGCGATATTTTTTTTTCACTTGAATTTGCAGATTATCGTGATACAGGCTTGCAGAAGCAAGTAGGAGGTTCAGTGGGAATTCTCTGCACAGTCTTAAAAATACCACAGACTGGCCCTTCCCTGGTCGCATACAAGACAGCTGTGTGTGCCCGATGCCTGGGTGGGACTTCAGAGGCCCTGTGCTTCAGAGACTGCATTCATTTTCTTCTATAGCTCTCACAGATGTCTCAGAAATCAGCTGAAGGCGTTTTGATTGTGTTGGCACGTGGCGTGGACACATCAAGGCTAATCTTGCGAGGAGAAAAAGCCTGTCACATGACCGTGCAGAGGGAAAAGTGCCTGGCGAAAAAACAGCATGGACTACAATGTTAGCTTGATTAACCACGATTCGATAATGTCAGTGTTTTGTGAAGTGTAACCTAAGTTCTTATCAGTGTCTAGTGTGATAACGGGAGAGGATTTTATCCTAGCAAAGAGACACTTTGGCCGCATCGAGCGCAAATGTTTTCAAGCCCTGATAACATTTTGGCACAGACAGTCTTGCAGCAACATACCAAAACCCCTGACACACTGCTATCAGCTGCAGCGTAGTCACTGAGCACACGGTGCCAAGGTCACATCCTCCCACAGCCAGCACGGGTGCACAGAGGCTTATGTCATCACTTAATCAAGAGATCAAGGGTGACAGCGAGCCAGCAGTTATTTATATTTACCGGTATATTTATATTAAGGTGGTTGTTTGGAGATACCGACATATCAAAGTTCAGGATACTTGCACCAAAATTTATTTAACAGCTTTTAGATTTAAAAAAAAAAAAAAAATAGAAGAAGAAGGGGTCTGTAGCAACATTTTTTCTTTCTTTCTTTCTTCTTTTTTTTTTTTTTTTTTTTTTTTTTAAAGACAGCATCCTGCCTTTGAGTAGTTTTTCTAGTAACTGAGGTGAAGGGACTCAGTTGTGATGTAGCCTGTGAGCACAACACTAAGCCACATCATTGACACCACTGGCAGTGCTCTGCAGAGACTCTGGTCCTGGCGTTCATGCGGATGTTACATTTACTCGTATACCACTAACCGGAACAAACTCCGAAGGCAGCGACACTACCCAACTGCAGCCGTCTCCTGTAGCAGAGCACCCAGCCTATGCACAGAAACCGCCCAGGAGTAGCTCAAAGACCATACTCACCCTCCAGCTTTATCAGATCCCAGTCTGATTGAGCATCTCTGGAACGCGCTAGAACAAGCCTGATTCGTGGAAGGCAGCCCGTGGGGACCAGACTGCTCTCCTGGTGCCAAACGCCACGAGCTGTTTTTGCATGATGGGTGCAGGTTCAGCACTCAAATTTGTTAGAAACTATTTAGTTAACCCAATTTACTGTGGTTAGTATCATATTTATTTATCCTGCGAGGAAGCCAATCCTCATAAGAATTTATTCGGTGTACATATATAAAAGCGTGTAAATAAACAATAAAAAAAATCAGTACTTTTTTCTTTTTTTTTTTTTCAAATTGTAAAAGTCGTAAAACAAGTTATTCAATTACTGGAGTTGTTCATATGTTCTTTTTTTAGGAAAGGACAATGCCACCTTGTCATGTAGCTTCTTTTTTTAAATTCTTTAAAAGCTTTACAACGTTTCAACAGGTTTTGGAAACTACACAAAGTTCAGGGCACAACAAAATCAGACAAGTCAGACAAGTTTGACTTTCACAGACTGACAGAGTTCAACATTGTTGAAATAACTGGAAGACGAAAAACTGAAAGAGTCTTTTAGTTATAGATGTTTAAATATGATTAAATCTGATCTTTTTCTCGTGTGTTTTACTGTTATTTTATTAATGTTTGAAACCTATTTTGTTTTTTGGGGTTTTTTAATCACTGCTCTCCTTTCACAGATCACAGATGTGTCCTTGCCAAACTACCTGGTGGCCTCCTCTGTGGGCCTGTTGCCCACACAGCTTCTAAACTCCTACCTGGGCACCACACTTCGTACTATGGAGGATGTCATCGCTGAGCAAAGCGTCAGCGGCTACTTCGTTTTCAGCCTGCAGGTGAGCTGAAGGTGATAATATATTGAGTACGAAGGTAACAATTTTCAAATATCCGAGATTTGAAATGATATGTTGCTTTCCCATTTTGCTCAACGTTGTGCTGACGTTTAAAGAACAAAAGCCCAGCGGAGCTCGTTATCAGCACACCCCTATTTGTGACCATACTGAATATTTATTCTTAAATATTGGTGATTATTGACGGAATAATAATAGCTGTGGATATAAAATCAAAAAAAATTTGTGTGTAAATGTATTGTGGAAAATGCTTTAAAATGGAGAACGGTAACTACTGTGACGAAAACAAGCTTACATACAGGAAGTGTAAGATGTTCTTTTCTAGAAATGACTTCAGCAGGTCTGTGGGATGGTAATGGTTTCTCTCATTGTTCTGGTTTGAGCTTGTTCCACTCTTCCACAGTTTAACTCTAGTTATTTTCATTAATTTACCTTCAGGGATTTTCTAGAGATTCTTGTTTGCGAAGGACTGAGCTGTTTGTATTTCACTGTTATCAGATTCTCAGAACTTATGAAACCGGTTTTGCAATTCAACAGTGGTTTGGTTTGTTTTTGTTTTGTTTTTTTAAAGAAGGAAACAGTGATACATGAATGAATGTCTGATGCGGTTGTTTACCTTTTTGCTTTACAGTAAGGAAGGAATTCCTGCTATAGAAAACATTTTTTAGACTATGACCTTCTTTCCAATCTTCACTGACATCTTCCTCTATTCATGCACTATATGTCCTTCAGCAGGTTTCAGTTTAGCCTTTCTGTTAATGATCTGTCAATGAGCTTTCAGTCCAAATTCTCTCAGGCGATGAGACACTTTATACCAAGAAAAAAACATCAATGTTCAACAGCGAACTGACGAGCAATGTGGTCAATGAGCAATGAACCAGTTTCCCACTCAAAAGTTTCTCTCTGGTGAATTTGTCCCAAATGGACAACTATGGATGGATTTTTTTTTTTTTTTTTTTTTTTTTTTTTTTAAACCTCCTGAGACCTGAAGATTTTTAATTTCATTTTAATTTAATAGAACGTTCAGTATCAGGTGCAAAAAAAGTTCCCTTATGAAGGATGTTATCCACATTGGATCACATTTCCTTTTAAAACATCTCATTTAAGATTTTTGTTTAGGATAGAGTATTTTTAAAGTACAAAATACACTTTAACTACATCCTGTTCACTTATATTAGGCGCTTTAAATAGATTAAGGGGTAGCTTTGGTATTCCCTGACTTTTATCTCTTCTGTATCTCCACCAGATGCCCTGCTTGGATGTTATTCAGCCCTTTTAGGCAGGTCTTTGCTTTGGAGCACTCCTTGTTGTAGGTTTTTGTGAGTCAGAAAACACAACAAAACCACGTAATCTACTAAAACATCAAACCCACAACAAGAAGAATGTGCTCTCCACCGACCAAGCCTGCGTGTACGCCAGTCTGACCATGCGAAATGCAGGTTGAACACTTTTCTTTAGAGTTACAATAGTAACAGAGAAAATAAATATGACCTACACACACAAGCAACAGGTGACAGATCTCGTCCTTGCTTCTAAGAAGAACTTTCTATTACTTTTCTGTGAAGTATTATTCCAGGCATTGCTCTTGTTTGTGCCAGAAAAGTCAGCTCAGCTCACCTCAAGTTCATTTCAGTTTTACAGCATCACCAACACCTGTTTAGTTTTATGTAATTCTCACAGGTGCTCAGGGAGAGTTAATAAAGGTCAGGAGTCCAGTGTCTGGTGAGTAGAACAAGGTATTAGTGTTTCATGTTATCTCATTGACAGCTGGCCATATTCACATGGAAGCCAGTCATGATGGGAAACTATGGGAGGTGCCGATGTAGCCCAGCTTCCCTGACACCAGCATGAGGAATGGACAGTCGGATTTTCTGGATTTGCCGTGATAGATGGCTCTCGCTCAATAGCAGTACAGATAGGCTCCTCTTCCCTGCTACCTTAAAGTGAACTGGAGAAAATGAATGAATTGGAGTTAAAACCAACCTTTAAATAACTAATTACGTGTGATTTATATAATAAACATATTGGTGGTTGTCCTTCAGTATAATTAACGCAGTGTTTCAGAGGCTACTGAGTTTTTGCTTCTGAAGTCATATTATTTGTTTGGGCTTGTTCTGAAAAACTCATACTCCAAAGTGACTAAATGCCAAACTCCAGCTGGCTTCGAGATTTAGTTTTCATAGGTATGTGAGTTGTCTAGAAGGTGAAATGTCTTTAAATACAGAATAGGGCTGCCACAAACGATTATTTTGATAGTCGACTAGTCACCGATTATTTATGCGATTAGTCGACTAATCAGATCATCATCCACTGGACATAAAACTACAGCTTATTGCACCAGCAGCATATGCTCTTATATAACTATCATTAGCTTACAGCTTTAAGCTTTTAAGGTGCTAACTAAAAATAAAGACAAGATGATAGTTTATTCAATTTTAATGAAATTTGCAGATTGTTTCGGTAAAGTTGAATAAACTCCTTGCTATCTAAAATATAACAGGACACCGGCGTATATTCTCAAGCATCTCACACTTCTGATCATCAGCTGTCTGCTATTCAGCTGTGTAAAAACTATAACTTTAATCTCAGCCAAACCGATTTACTCAGGAACAACTAAAATACTGAAAAAAGAAAAAAAAGCCAAACAACAACATTTTTAATTTATCTAAGTGACTCATATATATTTAACCTGAGTCGCGAAAGACGGCGGTGGGTTTGAAAACAATTTGCCGGGAGTCCGGTGTTCTCACGGCTCTAGTGACCTAGCCCCCGGCTAGCTATCGAGCTAGTGGGTAACAGACGTCTCCGAAAACGTCGGAGCGCTTTTGAAAATATGTGGTGTCCTGATAAACTGAGCCGATATTTGAGGTTTACACAGCTACATTCTCGCCTGAAAATATGTTAAACGTTTATTTTGTGACCCAGAAAGAATAATAAGAGTAATATTAAAACTAACTAGCTACCGCCATTGTTGGAAACTAAGCTGGGCCGCGCTATGAATTCTGGGACACAGCTGCTTCTTCTTCTTCGGGGTTTAACGGCAGCTGGCATCCTTGTACATGCAGTGCTGCCATCTTCTGTTTCAGTCCGTTATTACACTCTTAAATCCTGCTATTATTCCTGCGTCTTTTGCGATCTTACAAAGCTTCAAACGACACGTCGACTATTAAATCAGTCGTCGACGATTTTGATAGTCGACGTAATCGTGACTAGTCGACAAATCGTGGCAGCCCTAATACAGAAGAACGCAGCAATGTCTTTAGTTTTTGAACTAAAGTTCCATCGATATTTGTTCTGGTTTATAACTACTAACTTAATTGTTACAGTTTTCATTTCTAAATGTTAGAATGTAGCTAAAATTTGCCTTCATCCCTTTTTGCTTTTAGGAGACAAAACGATGTGCCTGTAAATGTAGTGCTTTACTTTATTATCGTCATCATTACACAAACAGAACGCTCATTACCACAATCGTTAGTTAACACAAAGCTTCTTGCTCTGCTCCGCTCTACAGATCATCATCAGCATCGGCCTGATGTTCTACGTCGTGCATCGGGCTCAGGTAGAGCTCAACGCAGCCATCGCCGCCTGCCAGATGGAGCTGAAGTCGTCGCACATGAACGGCTCCTCCACCAATCACAGCAGCTTCACCTACTGCAGCAAGAGGGTGACAGCTGGAAGCGGAAACTGCATCAACATCGTGTGATCTCGAATCGCCGCACGTGGCTGTAGCAGCCACGACCTGGTCACTCAATTGTAACGCACGTATCCTTGAGGGAACCAGCACAGTTCAGCTGGTGTCCCAAACACGCCGGCGGCGTACTGCAGCGATCGTCCCGGCATCAGTGTACGCCTGTAGTCGGTGTGGAAGTGCGGGACCACGCGCCTGATAATGGTGCTGATGAACGTGGTACGTCATAATGGTAGTTTATTTGTTTTCTGTTAATGGTACTTTTTCACATTTGTTACATGAGATGTCTGCGGAAATGTGACGATCTCATGGCAACCTGCGAAATAGTCACGATATTTAATCCTTTTTTTTTGTGCTCATGTAGAACTTCAACTTACAAAGTCCACACTGGGAGGCGGGAGATGGTGGCAGTGGCATGAGTTAATCATACACTTATTGAGACTGTAGTTTGAATGCTGGGCAGGAGCAGAGCTTTCAGACTCTGTTTTATTACCTTTACACTTAAGATGTTTGCTTTCTTTTACTGCGGTTTGGCACCAAAAGCACTAACAAAATAATAGTTTGGGTTAAAATGCAAAGTTTGTTTTCTACATGATCTAACGTGACTGTTTCACTTTTGCCATGTGGGTGGGCAAAAATATGGCGGGTAGCACAGTGAGCGAGTTTTAAAGTACATGGCAGGAAATGAAATGCCTGCTTTTTTTTTTCTGAATGTGCAGGTCCTTTCAAAGGAACCGATTTTACTTTTGATTTCAGTGTCAAAAGAACACCAGCCTATGCACCTTTAAGTATACCTGTTTCTATTTTATTTCAGGTGATTGATTTTGCTTATTTGCAGTATGAGTAATAAAGGGCATTATTAATATTTTTGAATTATTTGGCATTTTAATTATGGTTCCCTTTTTTTAAGTGTCTTATTTTTGGACTATGGAGAAGGCGGGAACACTCCCAGTGCGCGTAGGCTTTCAGTTTGAGCACCTCCTGCAGGTTTGAGAGGAGAGCCGGGAACTTTATAATCCAATATGTTTAACTCAGAGCCGCACACCCTGCGAGCGATTCCCGCATCGTTGGTGATCCATTTTGATTTTTCGTTAATGTTCGTTTTACTTTTGTTTTTGTTTTTGCTGTGAGATTTTTCTTTTTCTGGAGAATTATAGTTGTTTTTTTTTTCTCTTTTCTTTAAAATGGTTGATTTGATAAATCAGTGCAATACATCTAAGAACGAAACTGCAAGAATGTCACATTTCAGTGCTGAAACCAAACTAATAAGAAATGCTGTCATGCATACGACATAACACAAACCCAAGTCTGTGTGTTATTTGGGGTTTATCTTACTTAGATTACAGAGATGTGAGCTCGATGAGATAAAGAAGCTTTTATTTTTTTAATGTGCCGTGAATTGAGGAAGCTTATGAGACGTTATGACCCCGGCCTCGCCTGAGGTGAGGCTGAGTGCAACTTAAGACTTTTTACTTGTTGGTGGTGATGGACATGACCTGGTAACTTCTCATGCTGTAGGTTTGTTTGCACAGTCCACTACAGACAAACATTATTTTCATACAGATGAACTACAAATGGGTTTGGTTGGTCAAAAGGAAAACTGGATGTGTCATAGAAGCTGACAATCAAACACAACACTGACACCAAGGGATGAATGTGATACTACTTTTTATTTTTTACATTTATTGTGATGCTGCTCCTCAGACCAAGTCTGATAGAGGAATATTAAGGGCTCCTATTTAAAAGATTAAAAAAAATTACACATCTTAATGTTCCTGTAGTTGTTCACAAAAAGCCTGCTTTGTGATGCTGGTGCAACTTTTTGTTTTGTTTTTAATTTTAATTTTTGTACCTTTTTGTTCTTCTTAACGCCAGAAACTGTCTTCACCCGAACACATTCCATGCTGTCAGTCGACTGGCAAGCTGTAGAGTTACTTTCACACTAAATGTTGGTTTAAAGGGCCCCTTCCGGTTTGAATTTAGCAATAATTTTGACAGTTTAAAGCAAAAAAGCCCATACCAGTATGTACCAGTAAGCTCTTTAGCCAAGTGAGGGGAATCGCTTAGTCAGGTTATAACGTGAACAAAAAGCTGCATTTAAGTTATTTGATCTATATTCCAGAGTATCACCTTTCCCAGGTTTGTATTTCAGTGTTGAGCCTGCCTTTTACCTCCCGCTGCCTCTTTGACAGACATCTCTGAGTTGCCTATGATTTGAAAGAGACGTCACGAGACACGCTGGTATCTGTGATCAGAACAGCTTGTTTGGTATTGGGAGAGTCCCTGAAATGACTGACTGCTTGCACACAGATCACACGAACATCTTTATCGTCAGATTGAAACACTTTTACAGCTTCTTACTTGAATTGACCGTTTACGTATAGAGGGAGAGAGGGGAACATGTCTTACAACTGATAGCTTGTGAAAAAAAAAATCACTTAACACTTAGTCATGTTTTAAAAGCACGGAAATGTGGTTTGTTTTAAAGTCTTAGATGTCCCCTAACAGAGACTCTCCTGAAACGTAGCATGATTAATGAAGTTGTTCTACTCGGAAGTGGTGTTTTTTTTTTTTTTTTTTTTTTTTGGTTTGTTTGGGGTTTTTTTGTCTGTGTGTTAAATTTTGTTTTTGTCATGTTTAATGCAAAAATCAAACATATAAATGAAGCTCGATTGGCCACCGTGGGGACACGTCATTACGTTTAAGCGTCTCACCTGGGAACTCAGATTGTGCAAAAATTTAGTTTTACACTTAAAGGCTTTGGTTCTTCCTACGTGGGCTCTACTTAACTTTAGATATAGTTATGCAACAACTGATTCCTAAGGGAAGTATGTTTCATAGACACCCATATAAGACCTGGGTTTGGGATGCAGGTGTTATACCGAGTGAGGGATCATTAACCTAAAGGGCCGTGAGGTCATGTGTGGTGCTATGAAATGTAATACTTCCCCATCTGTATCAAGTGCATTACACATATACTGTATTTTGTAATACAGAGAATTTTACAGTGTATAAATGTTATTTATCACTGTACAATGCTTGTTCAGTGTTATTTATGAAAGAGAAAATAAAACTAGACAGTTTGTTATAACCTTCTGCTTCTTTTTTTTTTTTCCATGAAACCTCACAACTAAAACACCTGAATTTATTTATTTTAAGTTGAGGTTTCTTCTGTGTTTTCTTGCAAGATGACCTCTTTTAATCCTCCAAGGTGAAGTTCATAATTACGTAGAGACACAAATATTTGGACAAAATATTTTTTTCCACAGTGGATTTCATGTCAGCCAGTGTTTTAAGTGCCAAGTTTCAGTTTTAATTCAAGGGATTTAAAAAAAAATAATGAAATTAATTTTAGGACTTAAAGCAATTTTGATGCATAGTCCTCCATTTGTAGAGGCTCTAAAGTAACTAGGCACATATTGATAAGCAGTACAGGTAAAAGATCTGTTCATGCAAAGTGTTTAAGTTGCGTTTTGCTGCTTTTCACTGGAATGAGGTCCAAAGTGATTTTGGTGCAAGTGTCATCATTAGTCTGAAAAAATAATGAATGCACTGGCCAGCTGGACAACAGCAAAACACCTGAAAGACCACAGAAAGTTAATTAAAGTGGGTGATCACACAATTATTTCCATGTTTTAAGGAAAACAACTTCACAGCTGCTACACAAGTCAAGAACAGACTTGCGAAAGTGGCCAGATCAGTGTGAAAGCCTGCAATTAAGAGATGCCTTGGTAATGGTTATACTCAAAAACAAAGACTAAACTTTACCAGGAGACATGTAAAGGAGCTCACACAGGTCTCAGCTAAATTATTTGTACACATCAATCCAAATCTTTCTGCGAAAGCAACCCAAGAGTCTCAAGACAAAGAAATGTGATATTTATCAATAGCCAAGTCAGTCACCTGATATCACTCCAACAGAGCATGTTATTCCATTACTGAACACAAAACTGAAGCCAAGGAGACCCACAAACAAGTAAAGGTCTTGCAGAGCATCTTGAGGAAACGCAGCATGTGGTCAGGTCCATGTGTTCTGCACTTCTATCGGTGACTGCCTGACGGGATTTTTACCCAAGTATTGAAGACAATCATCGCTTTTCATACATTGTTAGCTGGTTCAGTTACTTCTCAGCCTCTGAAAATGGGGGACTGTTTAAAAAGGGCATTTATTCCTAAATAGTTGATTCTGTAGTTATGTTAAACTCCCTGAACATCTGCACTTCAACTGGATGCTGTTTGTTTGATTTTAAACTCATTTTAGTGTAGTGGGCAAAAAATATTTTTATTCTATCATTCAGGTGATAAAAACTTACAAACTTACAAATGCAGTTTAATAAAAACACAACACAGAGTTTCATGATGGGAAATATATGATATAGTATTTTTGAAGTTCTCCCATAGAGACTGAAGCCTGGAATATTTCATCCACTGCTTTTGTCTTTTGTGTCGCTTATAGAAGAGTAACACTAAACCACTGAGACTATAAATACACAAACTTGTTGTCCTTGTCTGTTTTTATGGGTTACAGGTCAGGATGTGTTATGTAACACTGAGTAAATAACTGTCCTTATTTGTTTTCACTTTAAGGGAACTGGTTTGAGTGGAAAACTCTTGACTACATGGCAGGTGTTTTAACAGAAATGTGTCAGAAAGCTTCTGCTGCTGATTCATTTTTAAACTTGTCCCCGTCTTTGTTGAGCTACCACACTTTTTTTTTCTTAGTAAAATGCCTTTTCCATCCTAAATCCGAGCACGACTCTCCAAATATGACCCAGCTTCATCTCCTAACCCTTTGAGAGTCTTGGAAATGTTCTTACTCAGAAGATTTCCCCTTATCTTGCAATCCCCTAAAAAACCGTCAGTGCTCAAATATGCAGCAGCAGCAGCAGAAGCAGAACTGTACGGCCAGGCATAATACTGGCTTCTGGGGCAGTTTGTCACAGCAATTTTGAAGTGAAGTCGTGATGGATGTGGTGGTGGCGGTGGTGATATAGATTGGAGTACCACTTAGACGTGTCCTTGCCTTGCCTGTGACAATCTACTACCTCTCTCTGTGTGCACATGTGCACAGAGGTGGGTGTTTGTGCTTCAGTTAGATTGTGCTTGCAAACAGTGCTGTGCCCATGTAACCACATGCAACTTCATACAGTTGAAAAGCAGCCCAGAGCCTTCTGCTCACATCCCCAGCTCAACAAAAATATAAAAAGCGAATACAAGCTGAGCCAAACTCTATCAATCAAACAGCAACACGTCTGACAGGTCGTGCTTTTTATTGCTCCATCTGTTATCAGGAGCTGCAGCGCACGTCCGTCTGCTGCTCTTCACGCAGTTTTTTCCAGGCTCGGGTCAGATCCGTGTCAGACCCATCATCATGTAACCCCACCTCGAAGGACAAACCCCATCCCAGAGCCTCTCCGCCAGCGCACGAACACGTCTGCACAAAACTAACAACATTGAATTTGACGGGCCTCAAATTAAAGGCCTCGTTCACTACGAGGCCTGCGCTTCGGAGGGAAAGCTCCAAAAATACTGAGAGGCTGTTGGTGTTCGACAACAAGGAAGGAAATACAAGAGTGGGTGAGATGATCTTGGAATTCGTCCATGCAGGCTTTCAGAGGGAAACTTATGGTGCGGATGTTTATGGATTTGTGGAGGAGGGAAATGATAGGCCTCTGGCAGAAGGATCCTCCTTGAGGCAGAGGGATAGATCATGTGACCACTTTCTTGGCGCTGACAGCTGTTGCCTCCATCTGTACAGTAGATGACCTTATGCTGATCTTCTTCTCTGTACTCAAGTGTGACACCGCACTACTCTCATGCACCGTGCACATTGTAGTTGCAGAATAGAAAAGCTGACAGTGCTCTTCTTTTCTGCATTTAGCTTTGGGTAGACTGTTCACCTAATAGCTGCTTAAATCATATTAACTTAACCCAGTAGTGCTTCTGCTGGTCCAGAACAGGTCTAATAATCAATTTTGATACTTTATAGAAAAACCATTTCACAGGAGTAAAAAAAAAAAGATCATATCCTTTAATAATGTTAGAAACAAGCTCTTATATCTTCCTCAAATGCTTGATTTGAATTTAATGTTAGGAATATTATAATGGACCAAGCAGTGAAGGAACATCAGGCACAGGTTAAAGTCCCTAAAAAAGTTTTTTTTAAACCCCCCAAACCCCTAATCGTAGGCCCATAAAAGAGATCAAAGTAATAGAACTCTGTAACAAAGTAACAGAAAGCTGTCAACAAACAATACTACTGACTCAAAAAAACTGAACTACTTAAACAAGACCAAGGAGAAACTTAAATAGTGGTTGATCAGCCCACAAAGACACAAAAGGGGGTAGAACACACAACTCCCCCCCCCCCCCCCCCCCCCCCCTTCACACTTGCTCCGCCCCTTTCCTCCCTTTTTAGCTCATCAACCAAAAGACTGGGAGCAGCTGCTACTGAGATAACTCAAAAGACAAAGAAAGATCAACTCATACACAGAACAGTGTAAACTAAAATGAGTGCATTTATTTCAGAATACAGTAAAGAAAATTAATTCTAAACCAAAACCGATTCTTCATTCCACTGTAAGTTAAGCCATATATTTAAAGAAAGAAAAATATAAGTATAGTATAGTGTTATGTGTAAGTCTCTATTGTAGCACTGATGTTTAGTTGATAATCCCACTGTTTGTGACTGTAACTGCAGCCACCACAAAGATGTTTCAGAAAATGTTTGGACGTGATCGTTGCTGTTTGTGGACCAGTTGCTGTAATGTTGGAATCCAAATGTTTGCTTTAAAATAGGATTTCAGCTGTTTAACAGGACTATGCACCAGTTGTTGTACATTCGTCATTTCATAATGCTCCAAATGTTTTCTGTGGGTGACAAGTCAGTTCAGCCCCCGCACTCTTTTATTATGGAGAGGCATGCTGTTATTATGTGTTAAATGTAGTTTTGTTGGATTGTAGCATGTGTTTTGCTGCAAAAGCTGGATGTGTTCTTCATAGCTACAGCCATCATGTGGCATTTAAACGGTATGTTGGTACAAGGTCTGATGGTCCCACTCGTCTTTAGCATAATGTTTGATTTGTTTCTATTGACGTTTCTATTGTTGTTATGTTATTATGAATGTTGGGTCTAAGTTTATGAATAGAAACACATAAAGATTACTTGTATTGCAAGTCCCACAGACCAAAGTGCTGTGTGTAACAATAGGTTTCACAGAGAATGGCCTAAAAAGGAGTAAATATCCAGTGAGCAGCTGAAAGAAGGCTGAAAATGCCTTGTTGATGCCAGAGATCAGAGGTGACTGTAAAGTAAGTAACTCAAATAACCACTTGTTACAATCAAGGTATGCAGAAGAGCATCTTTAAACATACAACATATTGAACCTTGAAGCAGATGAGCTACTGCAGCAGAAGACCACACCAGATGGCAGAAGCAAAAAACGGAATCTATAATTCACATATGCTCACTAAAACTGGACGATTAACAACTGGAAATATTCACCTGATCGATGAGTCTTGAGCTGTACTGCAACATTCAGACAATAGGGTCACAATTTGGTGCAGAACAACCTTCAAGTATGGATCCATCCTGGTAGACAATGCTGACAATGTAACCAAAAGGCCCCCACAGTCATTAGAGCCCAATCCAACAGAGCACCTTTGTGATGAGGGCGAGCAGTAGATTCATACCATCTGTGGCAACTGTATCATACTGTGTGCCATTAAGAATTAAAGCAGTTGTGAAAGGAAAAGGGCGTCCAACCCAGAACTAACAAGGTGTTCCTAATGAAGTGTTGCTTGGGAATTAAAGTGGTCAGCAATATGAAACGTTTTCATCATTTTAGGTTTCAAACCAATTCCCAAATACTTGCACAAAAAATAGTTGGATAAGGAGATTTGGATTACATGAAACCCCAAAACCAATATAATCTGCATAATGCTTCAATAGAAGAGGATGTTGAGTCTTGAGGTATTTGTGTTTCAGGCTTCAGATGAACTCAGCAGAGCTGGATGTATTTGGTCCATGTGTCCTTGTTAATCAGGGACCAGGGGACAAATGAGGGTGGGAGGCCTTTTCTGATGATGGCTGCTCCCAGGGAAAAGTCACATCTGTGTCCTCTCCTGAGGTCAGCTTTTCCTCGCTGTGTGTGGCAGTGATCTAAAAACTGTGCTGACTGCTCACCAAACAAACATGAGAAATGCACTCAGCGGCTGTATTACAGGGAGAAGTGAGGGGGGTGCGTCCACACAGGCTGTGCGAGGAGACAGATTACATCTGGCTCGAGGGAGGAACTCATTAGATAGGATAACATCTTAAGACACCTTTTTCAAATCAGATATTTAACATTATTTTATACAGGAAAAAGGTAAAAACAAGCAGATGTTATTACAATTTTAATTATAAATGCTATAATTTTTTGGTTTTTTTTTTACTAATTCTTATTTAATTTGTTCATCTTTGGTTTTTTGCCTACTGTTGCTATGTTATGGTGGGTTATTGATAAGAATTACCAATAGACAGCAATATGTCATGTTTAGCACAACCTTTGCCCTCATTTGCTGCAGACACGGTTTAATTATTAAAAAAACGTTGGTACAATTTTATCATGGCACTGAGCAAGATCAATCAACGACAACAGAAACTCGCAAGGATGCAGAGGCAGGTTTAAACATTGCTAAAGCAAAGTGAGTGAAAAAACAAGTACACATACTGTGTTAAAATGTCTTACAGATGGATGTAAAAAAGTCAGCTTACGCGTTGAATTAAATATCACGATCTCATCCTCATACTGGGATTACACCATTAAAGGAGACTTCAGTAAATTTAGAAAATTTGCAAATTCCTGTGCGCAAGGCCACACTGACAAATACATGTATGAATGAATGCACACAAACACATTTCTTACACAGTCACAGCTAAAAGTTTTGGCAGTGACACAAATGTTTAATTTGATATGATTTGCCGCATCAGTTTTAATGTTTTTTCAGGGTGTTTTTAATGACACACATTTCATCCCTTGTACCCTCTCTTTGTCAAATCTTTGTCTCTGTGAGTCCCTGTTACACTAACTCCTGTGTTTTTTTCTGGTGGTCACTGATCTTTTGTGCTTTGAGGGCTTTTGGTATAGTCTTTATGTCTTGTTACCCTGATGTTTCCACTTGCCTTCTGTCTGTGTATGTAACCTCAGTTTGGCTGTGTTTAAACCCTAGAGCCTTCCCTCCTGATTTCTTCTTTGTGTTTGTGGACATTGGTATTTTATATTCTGGATTTGCATTAGCAACAATAAAGGAAATATATGTTGTTGTTGTTGTTTTTTTTATTGCTTTGTCAAGTCTGTCTGTCCTATCGTCCTGCATTTCATGACAACTCCCCACATGAACAGATCAGGTCAACCCATTTTTATATCCGTGTCTGCTCTTCCTGAAAATGATCTGGAAGATTAAGTTAACTGCAGATTGTCTGATGTTTCCTGATGTGAGCAGTTCACCTTCCTCTAAAACATGGGCCGTTTTCCTAGTCTTGCTAATCAAGAGCTTCAGTCGTAAGTGTATAAAAAAACTCACTGCTTGAACAGTTGCTATCCAACTGTGTACTGCCCTCTAGTGGCCTGATGCTTGTGTTACATACAGAGTGACATTACAGTAGGGTTTCTCATGCTGTGTGTGGTGTTTTTCAGTCTAAACTCCATCCACTGAGGAAGATCATGTAACAACGTTAAAAGCTGAAGAGCTGTCAGACTTCTGCTAATGGATCTTGTTATCGGTCAATGCAAATTTATATCAAAACAAAGCAGACATAATTTATTGGTGGTTTTCATATTTTAATTGGCCATTTTAACCACATAAAACACTTAAGCAGACACACATTAGAGGAATAAATTAAACTGAACTGATTAAATTAAGACAAATCATTTACAGGCAATAAGAACATCTTCCTGCATAGTGTTACAGTAATTTAAAGAGCAGCTGATCTAAAATAAAATGCTTAACTGTCATGTTTTTGGTTGTTTTGTGTAGTTCTATTCAGCTGTGAAGGTGCAGTAGATTCCCCAGTGATCACTAGTGTAGCGTCCACAGTCCAGCTTCTCCAGCCCCACCAAGGCCATGTGATCAGGGGCCAGACGTGGGACTCCACGTTTGATAGCCGGGCGGAGGTAGATTCTGTCAAAGCGGAAGCGAGCAGGTGTAGAAATATTCTGATTGGTGTTAGTAGTGGTGTCCCACGTGTAGCGGCAGTGCTCCTGCTTGCCCAGTCGCTCCCACACATCACAGACAGTTGCAGGCAGGCCCACCTTGGTCACCTGAGACGGGTCCAGAGAAAAGAGTTACTGTGATTACTTGTTACAAGTTTACTGGCTGTATGTGAGTGGAAGGAGCAGCGTCTGACCTCCGCGTCCCTCAGGTTTGTGTCTCCCCCAAACACAACGGTGACATCATCAGGTGCATGTTTAAACCTCCACTTCACCACATGCAGCTGATTCATACGCTCTTTAGAACATGCCTTAAAGCTCTCAAAGTGAGATGTCATCAGGCACAGCTTCTGGCCATCGACGATCACCTGATTTTTGCAAAGGAAAATGTTCCTGAGCGTCACGTTCAGCTGAGCTCATGCATCTAAAGAAAATATCAGAGATGATTTTGCACACACCTGAGCAACAAGCAGGTTCCTCATCATCTGAGTTGTGCGATAAGGTACTATCTCACTCTCCACAAATGTGACTCGTGACTTTTTCAGCAACATCCCTGTGAAGTAACCTTCCTCAGCACCTGGTCAACACAAGTCAGGAGGAAGAGGGAGACTTTTAAAGGCAAAGACCTTCAAAGGAAATCCTTTGTCAGGTGATCATGGGCTAGATTGCACATAACTGAAAGCACACAATATCACAGTGAATACACTGCTGCTATGATAGTGGGCTTATAGTGGGATTTATTCCACTCATCTCCAGCTCCATGTGTTTGTTTTATATCTCTACTAGGACAGCTTTGAATGATTCATTACTCAAAACTGTCTGAAACAAGCTGTTATGGCTCCTCCCCCTTCAAGCAGCCTGACGTCTGACTTACTAGAGTTACTACTTCTAGACAAAAGACACGAAATTCAAGTGTTTATAGCCTGAGCGTTGACACCCAGGATTTACCTAGCTTCTCCAATTTCAAATTTATTCTTTGAAAATGCAGAATCATAGTAACAATACATACAGTATGTTGGATGTGAGAGAAAACAAGAAACTACCTTACAATATAAAGCGCCTTGAGGCGACTGTTGTTGATATTCGGAGCCGTATAAATGAAATTGAATTGAATTACATACAGTATGTGCTGGATGTGAGAGAAAACCAGGAAAACCAAAACAGGCTCAAACAGCTGAGCTTCTCCAAAGTGTATCCATGGCCTGTGTAATAATCTTGTAGTGTTGGTACAACAGTCAGGTTTAAAAAACAGTGAAGGAAGAACACAGATGTTTTCTTTGCAAGCTCCTTTGACAACACAGATGTTAATAATATTAACTAAAGTCCCTAACAGCTCTCCTCATGTGTGACACTACGTGAAGCCAAAGCAGTTCAACTGCATTCAGCCATTAATCACCATTTGATCATTCATACATGGACTTTTCCTACCTGTATCTGACATACTGTACCTTCAATCATCAGGTAGCTCGCAAACCGTTTCTTCAAGAACTGGACATAAGGGGGAATGAGCTCCTGCAGGAACACCACATCAGGTTTGTATCTGCATTTACAAACATTATCTTTTATAATATTAACTCTCACATATATGCAGCCTTTAGCAACATTTCCCGTAAATGATGCCTAAAAGTGTAGCATGTGCTTACAAGTTTAAATATTTAACCAGGCCTCTGGCACGCTCTGGACGTTTTTCCCCATTAATCCCGTCCACGTTCCAGGTGATTAGGGACAGTTTAAAATCCTCTTTTTCTGAGGGTTTCTGTGTGGCAGCAGGACTGTTGGCTGGACTGGCACCTGGAGTGTCGGCCGGAATGTAAGCAGGACTTCCATCAGGACTGTCATCAGCCAATTCCATCCTGCAAATTTTTCACACAGTCAGTCAGCTCAAACACAAAGAATCATAGGTGAACTTTACCATATGTAGGAGAACAGACAGCAGACTTACCAGTCATCAGGAGTAGTATCTTCACCACTGTGTGTTTCAGAGTCGCTCTCCATGTCAGCTTCAACAAACTAGTTCAAGGCTCTCTGAAAGAAAAGTGACAAGAAGGTTTTGCTTTCTATTCATTTACTATAACTGAAAAAGGGCTTGGCTGCAAATACACCCAGGCAGTTTCTCAGTATGTTTATTTGTGTACTTGTGTCCATGGTTGCAAACAAATATGGTTCATAGTATGTTGACAAGTTCTTGCTCCACCCATTCTATCAAGGTATGTGGCGGGGGCGTGGTCTTTGGCAGAGGAGGGGTGACGCAATGAGCTCGCGGGGCGGCGTGGAGGCGGGAAGGAGCAGGTGTGCAGAACTGTGTTAATGAGAGAAACCTTTCTTATGTCAAAGGAGCTTGCAAAGAAAAGCGTCTGGACTTCTTTAAGTTACTTGAAGACGTTTCACCTCTCATCCGAGAAGCTTCTTCAGTTCTAAGGTCAAATGGTGGAGAGTCCCAGATATAAACCTAGTGGGAGTGTCCCCCCACAGAGGGACAAAAGGACCCCCTGATGATCCTCTAATTGCCTGAGCCAAGGTGTGAAACTGGGTGTGGGTCCCAATCAGCCAGAGTTTCGGGTGAGTTCATTGTGAAACCTGGCCCCACCTTATCATGTGAATTCCTGAGGTCAGATGGCCCAGGATGTGAGTGCGTTAAGGCGTCTGGGAAGGGATCTCAAAACTGGATTATAGATGGCAGACAGTTGGTGTCGTAAACCACCGCCTCTGTTCAAAGATGGTCGCTCACAGTGGACACTCCTCTTTCTTTGTTTGTGCAGTGCCGGAGGTGCCCCAGGCTTCCCAGGGTTTTTTTCCCTTTGAGGTACTGTACAGCAGGCAGCCGCGGGGGGTACTCGACCTGATTAAGGAAAACTGGGAGGAAGGGTCGAGCCCCGCAAAGAATGAAATTCAATACGTGCTGGACTTGAAAGCAAAGTTGGACAGGTTTGGGAGGCTATCATGGGAGAATTTGCTCCAGGCCCAGCAACGTCAGCAAACCCTGTACAACAGAGCGGCTAGGCTCAGGCAATTTTCACCGGGAGACGAAGTGCTTGTATTACTCCCTTCCTCCAGCTCTAAACTGCTCGCCAAGTGGCAAGGGGCCCCTGTGGTCACATGGCAGGTGGGGGACATTGACTATGAGGTCGCCCGGTCGGACAGGGGAGGAGCGCTGCAGATTTACCACCTTAACCTCCTTAAAACAACACATCTCCCCTCTCTGGTTCTGAACTCCCCTTTCTTAAAAACCCAGAGAGATTATAGTTGCCCTACGTTGAAGAACACCAAACCCTCTTCCTATTTTATTGCTTATTTTCATCGACAATTCTGCTAATTTTATGTGTGTGTGTCCACCCTAGGGGAGCTGGTGTACCACCTTCTCCCGCTAGTTGGAGGCAACTTTTACACACATTTCTACACTCCTCTCTTTTTTTTCTTTTCCTGTTTTTGTTCCCAATTTTCAAGATTTTTAACCCCATTTTTCACTGTTTTTACACACACATCAACTTTTCCCACACAACCATTCTCTTTCATCTCACAACATACTTGCACTCACATTTCTTACCATACAGTCAAATATTGAGTTTTATCTCTGGCCGCTGGGTGAAACATCCGCCGCTACTGGATCTAGATCCCATATTTACATTCAGAGCGTCCCCTGCAATGGCCTTCTTCCCTTCTCGGCAGAAAAGTGCTAAAATACCGTCACTCCGCACACTGTATTGTGCAGACGTTATCAACAGTGGACTCGAACCACCGTTCCCTGTGATGGACCGGTGTTTTTGCAATTACTTTCTGGCAGACGATTGCTTTTCTTTGCACAACACCGGAACCGAACACAAGCCTGGGGACTCGAACCCCAGGATTTTCCTCCCGGAGACTCAAACTCCGGAGCAGCAAGCACTTCACGGCTTGGCCAGACAAAAAACTCCTCATGACTGTATACAAAGTTAGCTACAACTCACCCATCTGCAGGAGTCCCCTCAAAGTTGATGGTCTCGGTGGTGACTGAAACACACGGTTCTGTGACTCTTCCATTTCCTTCGCTTCAACAGCTGGTAGGACAAAGGTACCTTTTCCCTCAGGGGTGATCAGCCCCTCCACGAAACCGTTGTTCAGCGACCACATGGACACATGGACAACGCCATTTTATTGTGGAAGTTTTCCATTTAAATAAAGCCTGACGAGCGGTGAGCGGTAGCTAACATTCTTTAATCAAACACACAAAGAACAGACAACCAAGCTTGATGAAGTCCCTGCATGACTGCGGGACAGACGGTCAGCAGAGTCTCCCTGAGCCTAGCATGGCTCTCAGTTAAATACCTTCTCCAGGAACAAAAGGCAGTACACAGCTGTTTCACACCTTAACACTAGAATTACTGAGCCTTTTTTCCCCTGGTGTGAGTCCCTACTACTAGATTTACTAGCCCTGCGCAAATTTGCGCAAATTCCACTGGCACTGCGTTGTCTTTACATTCCCTGGCACAGCAGCTGCAGCAGCTTCAGCAGCCTGCATCTGAGCTAATATTTCCTTGTGCTACATTCAAATTCAAATTTCAAATTCAAATTCAAATTTTATTTGTCACACACACACAACCATACACAGTATGACATGGGGGTGAAATGCTTGTAGCTGTACAATGCCCGACCATTAAATGACAGAAGAAAAGTTTTACAATATTTACAATTTACTACAAAAATTTACAAATTAACTTAGGAATTTACAGTAAAGAATGTGCAAATAGCAGAAGAGATTATAAAGATAAGGATTATAAATTATAGGAATTATAGGATTATAGGAAATGTGTGGTGACGTGTGTGAGAGTCCAGTCTTATAGTGACGTGTTGGGAGAGTCCAGTCCTACACCTGGTTCAGGCCCCGAATAGCCTGGGGGAAGAAGCTCCTCTTCATTCTCTCTGTCTTGGCCTTAAGGGAGCGGAAGCGCTTCCCAGACCTCAACAGTGAGAAGAGTCCATTGTTGGGATGGGAGAGGTCCATCATAATCTTCCTAGCTTTGGACTTGCACTGCTTGGTGTAGATGGACAGCAGGTCAGGGAGCTCTGATTGAATGATGCGTTCTGCCGAGCGCACCACCCTTTGCAGATCTCGTCTGTCCTGCTTGGTGCTGTTCCCAAACCAGGTGCAGATGTTTGACGTCAGGACGCTCTCGATGGTGCTGGAGTAGAAGTTCTTGAGCACCTTCAGTGGCAGATGGAAGTCTCTAAGTCTTCTGAGGAAGAAGAGATGCTGACGGGCTTTCTTAACCAGGGTGTTGATGTGACAGGACCATGACAGGTCCTGAGTGATGTGGACACCCAGGTATCGGAAACTGTCCACTCTCTCCACTGGCGTGCCACTGATGATGAGGGGTTTGTAATTCCTCGCCTGCTTTGTAGTGAAGTCCACGATCAGCTCCTTAGTCTTGCTGATGTTTAGGAGGAGGTTATTCTCCTGGCACCAGGTCTCCAGGTTCCTAATCTCCTCCAGGTTGGCCGTCTCGATGTTGTCGGAGATCAGGCCCACAACAGCAGTGTCGTCAGCAAACTTGACAATGGAGGTGATGTCTGATGTGGCTACACAGTCATAAGTGTACAGTGAGTACAGCAGGGGGCTTAAAACACAGCCCTGAGGCACTCCAGTGCTGAGTGAGATGGAGGGGGAGACTTGTTTTCCTACCCTCACTGATTGGGGTCTGTCTGTGAGGAAGTTGAGGATCCACTGACACAGTGATGAGCTGAGTCCTAGATCCGTCAACTTGGTGAAAAGCTTAGAGGGAATTATTGTGTTGAATGCTGAACTGTAGTCCACGAACAGCATCCTAACATAATTCCCTCTGCCAGTGTCCAGGTGACTCAGGGATGTGTGGAGCAGGTGAGATATGGCATCGTCTGTGGAACGATTAGTCCGGTAAGCAAACTGAAGTGAGTCGATGGTGGGAGGAAGTGAAGAAGTGATGTGATCTCTCATCAGTCTTTCAAAACACTTCATCACAATTGAAGTCAGTGCTACTGGACGGTAGTCATTGTGGCAAGCGGGATGTTGTTTCTTTGGAACAGGGACAATAATGGACCGTTTGAAGCACGTGGGAACCACAGCTTGGGCCAGGGAGAGGTTGAAGATCTCCGTGAACACCGGTGCTAGTTGATCAGCGCAGGCTCTAAGGACCCGGCCAGGGATTGCATCTGGTCCTGCTGCCTTCCTGGTGTTCACCCTCCTGAAGGTGTTCCTCACGGCATGCTCTGTGATGACGAATGCATTTTCTTCACTGGTGCACTCCGAGCGCGCGCAGCCGTTTGTTGTTTTAATTGCTGCGGCGTCGAAGCGAGCATAAAACGTGTTCAGCTCATCAGCCAGTGAAGCATCGCCATTCATCATTGAAGAAGCTGGTCGTTTATAGTCCGTTATAGTCCAGTACATGAATCGGCAATGAAGTTCCTGAGCTAGAAGACTCAGAAACAATCTTCTTTTGCCTGTCCACCCCGTACATGCCTTGTACAAAATGTAGGCATTCCCCGCCGCCAGGTCCAGCATATTGTAGAAAACCGCTACTGACCACCTGCGTGTTGCTGCTCTTACGGAATACATCCACACAAGTTGAGGAAGTTCACGCCAGACTTTATTCACCGTGCCCCATAACGGCGTTTTGCGCTGCAGCAGTCTGTGCGACAGTGACAGTGAAGTAAAGAAATTGTCTGTTGTGACGTTTCTCCCATCATCCAAAAACGGCTCCATCAGTTTCATGACCACGTTCTCTGCCAGCCTCTCTCCCTTCTGACGACTGGGGTCTTTTCCCAAGTAAGGAGACGCACTGCAGACATATTTGATGTCCAAGTCCACGGCCATTGAGAACTTGATCCCAAATTTGTCTGGCTTGGTTGCGTTATACTGTGTGAATGGACAACGAACCTTGGTAGGGAACAGCTGTTCATCTATGGTCATGTGTTCTCCTGGAGTGAAACTCTTAGCACAGTTCTTGTTGAAGCGTGTCCAGATGTCGGAGATCGCCGCAAATTTATCTGTTTTCACCTGTTCTGCCCGCGTGTCC